AGATTCAACAAAGGATTATCTTTATTGATGGAAAAGCCATCGAGAAATAGACTACCTGAAAGATGTAGGTTATACCTCTGAGATTAGTACCATGTAGCTAATAAAAGATGCTGATTATGATCAACAGATTTTAAAATTCAGAAAAAAACTAACTTCCATTCTTCACAATTCACTGTTTCCCAGAAGGAAGTATGACCGCAAGACTTTTAGCCATAAAGAGGCAAATCTTGCACAATCCATGAACCTCTTTTTTTGGAGCATAACTTCCCATCCTCCTGCCAACCCCTCATTCCCAAATTGTCCTTGTCATCTTTTAAGTTTCTTAACTAGTTAAACATTTATTAGGAACTCAGAGTTTATGTCTTAAGCAAAAATACTGTGGGGTTAAATTAAAAATAACCTGTGGCTTATTAGTCATTCAGATCAACTCCCATAGCTCGCTCTTTTCAAATTGTAAGTAGTTCTTTTACAAATGGATTAATTGGGGCTTAATTTTATTTAGAATGTAAAAGAACAAGTATAATCATATCCTACAGTAGTAGTTATATGAACTTATGTCTACCATAGGTAAATCAAAAACAGTGCCTGCTTAATTTTAACTCTTTTTTGGTATATCTGTTATTAGAGATATAAGAGCTGCATATAAAATTACCCTGTAAACTGCTTCCTTTCTTTAGACTGGATAAGTTAACACCTCCAGGACAAAATCTCCACATTCTCCACCCCAAAGGCTTCAGCAGTCTTCTAACGAAATTCTGGCAAGTACCGAATCAGGGGCCTCTGTTTTGCATTCATTATCCATGGATCACTGATCCTATTCTGTGGATCAAAAAAGTAAATTTATTTTCATTTGTAGCTGTTGGCAGACTATCTTGGCAATTTACATTCATATCCTAGAAGAGTGGAACAAAGACTGTGTGTTGACAAGACACTCTCACTTTGGGGAATGAGTTCCTATCTGTGAGGACAGCAGCCACAAGTAAGGCTGCACAACAGGCGGTGACACATTCGGAGGCCTTCACATTTCCCCTAAAACAACAGTTTCTAACTCTTACCTTAACACAAAATTCAATGGTAGAATCAAGGGGCAAAAATGGGCTGGAGTTCCCAAAGCTACCATTTAATAGCCTACCTGAAATGCCTATCACACATGTACAACAGGTCTATGACCATGGCCTCCAGATTCTATAAAGAGCAACGCGTCTTAGATCTTTAGGCATTTGAGTAGTCTACAAAGAAAAGTATGTCAAATTGGTTAACCCACCAACACATTTTATGTGTATCTACTATCTGAACTAAACGAAACAGTACTTTCTGATGAGTGTATCCTACAACTTGTGCCATCTTGACTCAGTTAAACATTAAATTACCATCTATTTGCTCTGACCCTACAAACATCCTGTTGATACATAAACAGAAAAACAGAAGCGTATCAAATGCATTTATCTTTTCTTCCTGGTGAATGAACAAAAAAACCCTGCAGGCTCAAAGATGAATAATTACGTTCCTGTTTTGAAAACCGCTGGATGCTCTGATATGAGGAAATGTCACATTCATAGTTGCCTTTGAATTCTCTTAACTCCCCAAAGAAGTGAGTAAACTGGCCTGAATAGTAGCTACAGAGAATAAGCAAGAAGCAAAGATCACACAATGGACAGTCACATTTGGTTTCAGCCTGTAGCCAATCTAGATTTCTAACTGTAATTTGCATTACCTGAACACACACTTGCGGGGCAGATAGGGATGAGTGGTTTGGAAATGACCAATCTATCCCAGCCCTCTGTGTTATGGACCAGGCAGCAGTGAATGCGTAATGGAAATATCCCTGGAGATGAAAGATCTGGGCTCTGGGCCAGCATCCTTCGCTGATTTACCACATGACCTTGGGAAAGTCCCTACATTGCTCCCAGCTGCTTTCTCAAGAGTAAAAGAGAGATAAATAGCTATCCTGCATATAGAGCACACCTACTGTAATGTTCAACGAGAAAGTGAAAATGCTTTATAATGTAAATCAGCTTAGCCAAAAATCTTAGGAAGAATCAGATTATATTCAGGGACTATGAAGCCATGTTAATCTTCTAGTTTCCTCATTCATAATGTGTGATTTGGCCCAAAGATAAAGCAGAATTAGAAAAGCTAAATCATTAAAAAAAAAAAAAAATCAAAATGAGCTGCATCTTGTATGGCTCAATCACAAGGTCCTTATGAATAGTGATTATTCCAGAGGTTTAGGGATAGTGAACAATTTCAAGCAACTTTTCCAAGGCATGAATATTAAGGTAAAATCCATTTAAAAAGCTCAGACGTCAATGAAATAACAGTTATATAACCGAGGTTAAATCACAAAGCTGACATAGATTTATAAAGCAGATGAGGGCCTGCCCCGTGGCTTAGTGGTTGAGTGCGCGCGCTCGGCTGCTGGCGGCCCGGGTTCGATCCCGGGCGCGCACCGACGCACCGCCTCTCCGGCCATGCTGAGGCCGCGTCCCACATACAGCAACTAGAAGGATGTACAACTATGACATACAACTATCTACTGGGGCTTTGGGGGAAAAAATAAATAAATAAAATTATAAAGCAGATGAAATGTAAGAGTAGACATCAAATAGTTTTAATGAATCCACTTCCTTTATTGCAGTAACTTCTGTACAAAGCAGCAACTGCAATACTCAACGTTAAAACATTAGAAAAGCATTTGTGTGACAGTTATAGTACAGTATTATCAAAATATTACATTTTCAAACTTAGTAGATAAACATCCACCAGAGCTCAAATCTTTAAATTATTTCCATAGTCTTTAAAAATATGTAATGTCAGAAAGCATATAAAAAGAATGTAAAAGACCTAAAATACAAATGAAATAATGTAACAAATAAATATTTGATTTAATTAACCATTAATTATCAGCTTAACACCACCATTCTCTCTAAACCCAATGAATTTTTACCTATAGGAATAATGAACTGTCAAATGCCATTGCATAATTATTTATTTCCAAGTTATCATCAATGATTAGAACGAAAAAAAATCTGGCATTAAAATAATCAAATTCAGCATAAACAAAATGGAGTAGAACAGCTTCAACACTAGCTAGCATCTCTAAGAATTGCTGAAACTTATTAAAGCACTACAACAACCTTGAAAATTTCGACCTGGTGTCTAGTGTCAAGTGAAAGTAATGCATTTTTTTTTTTAAGTGAAAAGCTTCTTACATTATTTCACAGACAATATTACCCTCCCCCATTATGCATATTTAGATATATTTTATGTACTTTATACACATATGTATGATGCATGACATTTGGTTCCTGCAGTACAGATCACAATGATGTTTTCCTGAATGGGAAAAACTCAAAAAAAAAAAAAAAAAAAAAAAAAACAAACAACAAGTTTAAGTGTACCTGTGCACATTTTAAGATAGCAGCACTCAGTTCATGCCCTATTATCCATTTAGAAAGGTCAAATATGCTATTGTTTACTGAATAATGTGACGTTTTTACTGTCTTTTCCCCCAAACACTACAAAACCTACAATAAATGGAACAATGCTGTGAGTTATAATGTAGGAAAAAAATTTGGGGAAAACAATTACTTCATTTTCTTATTCTGAATTCAAAATTATTATCAGACCTCCATTTTTATATTTAGTTCCTACTCACGCAGCAAAAATACTGCACTGACAACAGTAGTAATTTTATAGATTTCTATCAAGATTCATGAAAACCTGCATAAATTCTTCACCCCTGAAATGTATACCTTTTTGAACCCACTGAACAGTACTTTAGATGAAATGTTTTCCATTTTCAACTAAATGATAACTGTGTGAAGTTACATCCCCTTCAAATGATCACCTTTGTTCTCTATGAAACCTATATCTTCCAACCTAATTTTGAACTGTGTTTACTAAAACAAAAAAAATTAATCTAATGAATCTTGATTACTTTAAAAATGCAAAAACCCAGCAACATAAATGTCATTAAATATACACATATGCATCTGTGTATGCATATACATATACACACACACATATATGGATATGTAGACATATATCCCTTGAAATGCTTTTAGGAAATCCTTCCTTGAATAAAAATGGAAAACTTCACATTAATAATTGTATATAAAGCTTTTAGTAACAGTACATATGCACTGTCAAAATTGTTTTAGTAGACTATGATGTCAAAACAGACATTTCAAAAGCACAAACTGGCAGTTTTTCTTAACACAAAACTTTTAAAGTATTAAGAATGGATTAAATTTCACTGTTCAGAATAATCTGTTCAAACCTGAGTATATTAATTAAGACTAAGTGTACTTGACAATTGAATGAATTAAACCTAAAAACATTTCACTAAGAAACCAGTGGTCCATTTAACCATTTAATGAAACATTAAATATTTTACTGATTTATAAAGGATGGTATAGTGACATTCCACACAGTGTTTATTGAAATATTCTATTAAATGACATTGCGTTGTCTAATTTTCCTCCAGAAAAATCTTTTTAGCACTTCTTAAAGGTCCCTCAGATTTGAGGAAAACTCTAAATTAGGACAGATCTCTCTTCTAATAAATACAAATGACCGTGAGGACTTTTGTCTCAAGAATGACAATACGTGATTTTTCAGCATGGTATATAGAAGTACTGGATAAATCTTCAACCTTCCTTAAGGTTTCAAGAAATAATAATCAAATAAAGGTATAAATTAGAGCCAATTAGAGGTTAAAAAAAAGGTTTATTGGGCCTTTTTTCCCTTGATCTACATTTATACATACTCACACAAACCTAACCTTGGGGTCACTTTCTAGTTCCCATTTTTTTTTTGCATTTTTCATTAACTTGCTCTAATTCTCACCTTTAAGATCTAACAGCCATACCTTTAAAAAAGTAATAGAAAACACACAGTACTCAACACTAATTGGTCAATGGAAGAAGAAAAGCAGTGTCCATTTTATTTTAAGGTGGAAGAGACTAGAAATAAAAATCATAGCTGAAGACAAAGTCTGACATTCTATAAATTTATAAAAGAGGATATATGGATGAAATTTGGTTAATTTCAGAAGGCACCTCAAGGCTAAAGGCTTTTTGTACTCCTTTCATCAATCAAAAAATAACACACTTTTATTGCTATTCAAGTAGCAAAGGAAAACTTTACTCTCATGAGCTTCAGTCCAACAAGGAATCATCATTCATTAAGACTGAGATAGAGAATTGACTAAAACTGAAGTCTCCATACACATATCAGTGGAGCAACTTCCCTGTGTGCTTTCAAATTAATATAATAGTGAAAGAAAAGTCACAGTTCGCCATTGTGATTTTAACGTATCATTGAAGATTTCAGTTACTTCACTAGGCACTGAAGTACCGTCTGGAGGGCTGTCCACTATGTAGAACATTTAAGAATAGAAGGTGAGGACACTCTGATGATTCCCACGGACTAGGAGAATTGGTGGTAGGCCCTTAGATAGAGCTTCTAACCATGCCATGTAGAGAGCACTAGACACAGCACCTTTTCGTGCAACTGGGAGACTCCTGGTATCAAAAGGAGAAAGGAAGTTAAGCAATGCATTAAGTTGAGAAGAATAAAATGTAATAAAAATTATAAATTAAGTCACAATAACAGTAACTAAAAATTACTATAGTTACAGAATATTTTTGAGTGCAAGGAAATTCTGCACATAGTATAGCAACTACTATACTCACATATCATTATTCTTATTTTTTTAAGTTTGAACAAAAGATTTAAACAAATTTCTTCATAAGAATAGCAAATAAATATTTCTATAAAACCATAACATATTTGGTATCTAACATTAAACCCCCAAATTTCCCCTTCTTCAATAAGGACAGAATTCTTTTAGAAGAAAGGGATGAGGGGCCAGCCTGGTGGCGCAAGCGGTTGGGTGAGCACCCTCTGCTGCGGCGGCCCGGGGATCACCGGTTCCGATCCTGGCCCACACCGACGCACCGCTTGTTAAGCCATGCTGTGGCAGCATCCCATATAAAGTAGAGAAGATGGGCACAGATGTTAGCCCACGGCCAGTCTTCCTCAGCAAAAAAAAAGAGGAGATTGGCACTGGATGTTAGCTCAGGGCTGGTCCTCCTCACAAAAAAAAGAAAAAAGAAAAAAGAAAAAAGAAGAAAGGGATGTTTCTATTTGAATTTAGAACATGGAAACTATCCATAGATAAATAAAATTCAAACATAATTAATCCTACATATTAATTTTCATTTTCTCTTATCTCTCTGGGTTTTCACTTCTATTTGTAGATAGCGGCAGTAGTGACAAGTTGCTCTATAGAGTTTCTCTCTAGGTTTCTACGTTTTAGCATCTTCCATTAGACATGTGATCATCATGAGCAAAACTTGAAATTTCCTGGTATACTAAATGTTGTTAATCAAAATAACAATCCTTTGGTATTACTTTGTTTCTTTAGTTGGTGTGTTTTTGGAGGCATGAGCTTTCCTTACGTTTTTAAGGACCCAGGCTGGCCCCAGGATCAAGAAAATTTAGGTTGAAGTAACATCTAGCTAACCTGGTTTAAGTAATATCTAGCCAACCTGGTTTAGTGGAGGAAAAGCCAGAGTGAGCATCAGCATCTATATTCAACAAAGGCACAGTGTGTCTGTATGTAAAGTTTGTGTGTGGGAACCTGGGGGTGGGGATTCAGGCAGGAATCACTTTTTAAATTTAATCCTCCAAGTAACTTTATGGGGTTATTTCTATGAGGAAGCTGCCTGGGGTCCAAATTTTAACTTGGGGGGTCTTCATACCCTACACATGCTTGATGGCAGAATAAATTATTATGATAAACAATTACTTAGATTCATATAGGCTTAAGGTTAAGATTTTTGTTTTTCTTTTCTCCTACCTCAAATAGTTTCTCCAAATGCTTAAAGCAAAGTGTATTTAAAAAGTTTGCTTTTTCCTCCTTATAATCGTTAAGTCATTATGGGTGTTATATAGATATGTACTCGGTATAGAAATTAATCCTAATTGCATTATCATAAAATGAATACCCAAGAAAACCTTAGTACAGGTATTACTTACATGACAATGATATTAGCTGTGTTTGAATGTTCCTTTAATAATTCATTTAACCTGATCTGCCGGTATGTCTGAAATGAAACAGGACAAAGTCATTCCTAGATCATTTGAAAACCGGAATCTAGTGTGGTTTATACGAAGAAACCAAAATCAATTTTGGTGTAATAAAAATATCTGTTCCCTAGTTTAAACAAAATTAATGCTTTACACTTTCCACATATAAATCTAACTTAAAGTAGATTTAATTTACACAACTGGTTCCTCCCATAAAAAACTGCAGTTCTTGATACTTACTTAAGTATTTAAAAAACTCTCATGGCAGATTAATGAAAAGGAAGGAGAAGAGAAAGAATACCTTGGTCTTATAAAGTTCAAGCTCATTATCTGTTATTTGCCATGGTTCATCTTCTTTCATTTTATCTGCAATATCTTGTTCTTTATCATCTTCATGAAGTCTGTACGGCTCAATCATTTCATCAAAAGCTACAATACTTAAAAAAACAGAATACTGACAATTAACCTTAATTTGAATTACATAACAGTGAGATCTTAAACGCTAAATTATAACTTGAACAGTTAGTGTTTCCCATCTCTTGTGCTCCCCTCCATACCCTAACTATAACAATCACTTTGGCAATTTATTTAGAAAACAGCAATAACTAGTTTCTCAACTGATTAGAAATTTAAAACCATATTCACAATAACAGAATTGCAATTTTAACTGCTAATGCTTATCTCTCTGTATTTACCCCTGCCCCCTATGCCCACCTCCCTCGACCTAAATAAATTTTCATCATGGTAGTCAAAATGATCATTTAGAGCAATAAGTCAAATTGTGTTACTCCTTTACTCAAAACACTCAAAGGCTTTCCCAGTTCAAGTACCACTGAATAAAGTAGTATAAGAAAAGGTACTAGGGCCAGCCCCGTGGTGTGGCGGTTAAGTGCGCGCGCTCCACTGCTGGCGGCCCAGCTTCGGATCCTGGCTGCGCACCGACGCACCACTTGTCAGGCCATGCTGTGGCGGCGTCCCACATAAAGTGGAGAAAGATCAGCACGGATGTTAGCTCAGGGCCAGTGTTCCTCAGCAAAAAGAAGAGGATTGGCGTGGATGTTAGCTCATGGCTGATTTTCCTCACAAAAAAAAAAAAAGAAAGAAAGAAAAGGTACTAGAACATTTTGCAGGGAAGAAAGGGCAGACAATCAACATTTAAGAATATGCAGAATTAATCTCTAGATCCAAAGATACATAAGAGGATAAAAGATAGTAAAGAAAATGAACAGCATTCTAATCCTCTATAAATGTGGAAAAAACATACTTTTCAGAATTAAGTCTCATACAAAGCTCCTGGTATATATTGTTTTATAAGAGGAAACAAATCTCTCCCTGATTATAACCTTACAAGGTATACTTTACTATTTTCGATTTAAAATGAATTCTTTATACCAGCTCCATCATTTATTCAACATTTATCTGAAAATAATTAAAATTATGTCCATTAATATAAATATACATATAACAACCTCTATATGCCAGTTTCAGGCAGAATATTCCAAGAGTCTAGTTTTCTTTGACTCTTGAGAATTCTGAATGCAACTATTACAGGCAAATTCTTCGATTCTCCTATTTCAGTAATAAGACAAAACAGTGGAAAATAATATGTACGTGAAGTAGGGATCAAGTGGTCGTAATGAATGTGGGCATAAACAATCGAAATTTAAAGAACCATGTGGAATTTCTGTGGCATTTCAGAAATTACTTGTAAAGCTGTAATTGAATTCTTCTCTGATAACTGAAAACACTTTAGACTTCCTTTGATGTCTGCTACAGGCACACCAACTATTAGTGCTAGATTAAAAAAAAACTGATTTCACATGTAACTAACAGTAGGCAAAAAACTCCAGGTAATTAGTTAAGTTGAATAATCTATTACTGGAGTGTCTGAGTAGGTCATCCACAAAAGGATCAGAAATTTGTGCAAAGTAATTCATCCAATAACTTACTTTTCTTTCTTTGGTTTAGTATTAATATCTCCTAGGACCATGATATCGGAGAAGTCTATCCGGAACTTGCTAAGCAAAGTAGCCATCCTAGAACAAAAATGAATAGCACTGAGACACACGAAGGCTGTATACAAGTATTCTTATTCTATTTAGGGCCGAATCTATATATGTGGAAAGCATGATTTACAGGAGAAGTCTATCAGGTGCTAAACGAAGTCCCCCTGAATTAATTCACACTGTCCATTCACACTCAGCAGATGTCTAAATTCCCTGAGTAGAGACTTCTGTTATCTTCTTTTACTTTCTCGGAATCTCTCCTTAGTATCCAGTGATGAATGGACAAAGCAAGATTAATAAAATTTGAATGGCAACTATTTTTAAAGTTAATTTTACTCACATTATCTTGGTAAGTGTATAGATTTCAGTAAATACTAGTAAACAGTTGTTTATTTTCTTATATTCTTCCACCCATGAAGAATGCATATCTCAGAACCCAAAGATGATTGTTTGGGCCAAACTGAAGCTATAACTGATGGCAGATTAAGTTCGTTAAGTTCACAGTATTTTTTTTTTTGGAACTGGGACAGGCATTGAAAAGGAGCTCCAAAAAGCCTCTGATTTTTCATTAAATAAATAGCTTTTTGGAGGCATAGTTGGCAATGAAACCTCGGTGGTAACAACAGAGAAGTTGAAACATACATATGGGAAAAGCAATTAACAAAACAGGATTTTATTTTTAATAAAATGAGTTTTCTAAATTAAGATATTAGAAAACAGATGAGCTACAGGTTTCACTTTCAAATTATTACTAGTATTTCTTCCATAATTCACTACTTGAAATAAATAAACAGCTCATTGAATTCTGGTATAAATCTGTGAAGTGTCTGCTATGTGTTATAGGGCCCACAAAACTCAAATCCAAGGTAGGGAAATAAATATTATACAAGCCCCAGAATGTGATGAGTGGTATAAAGTATATCACGATTCAGGAAGGAACCAGTGGGGGGACAAGGGTAAAGAAAATTAAGGAAGGCGTTATAAAGAAGGTGAAAACAGTACTGGACTTTAAAGCATGGAGTATTTTAATAGAAGGGAGGCAAGTGAGGAGCTATTTATAGTAAAGAGGTAAGAGTAGGCAAAGGAGGAAAAGTCTGAAATCACACATGTTTAGGGCAGGTGTGGAAATGTAAGCTGAAGTATAAGGCACATTTGGGGGAACAGGAGACAAGCACAGAAAAGGAACAGGAGGACAGATTGTAAAGGGCCATGACTGTCACATTTTAGCACAGACCTTCTCAAGTCTTCTCTAAAGAGAAGAAGTTGAAAGTATTTTGGGCAGAGGAATCAAATGATCAAAGCTCTGCTTTCCAAACATGAAAACGGGAGCAAAGGGTACAATATATGCTGACAAGGTCAGAGACAAGACACAGGGTACTCAGAGAAGCACTGAAACCAGAACTAGAATTGTGACAGTAAGAGAAAGAAATAAGAGAATGGATGATAATGGTATCCTGCATTTCTGTTGTCTAGAAGTTTACCAAATGTATCCCATATATGAATACGTAATTTTTGGGCACTTTCTCCCTTGATTTAAAAAAAAAAAAAAGCTGCTTAACACTTTAATGCCACAAGTATTTAATAGAGACTTTCTAAGATGTCAATATATTGAAAAATACTACATATAAGTAAAACTATCTATAACTTAAATATAAAGACTAAATTAAAGAGAATGAGGTTTTATTTAACTAGAATTTTCAGCTTCAGTATAGGACAAAGCAACATGACTGACATTTTCTGGATTGTCTAATTTTTATCCTATCAAATCTATGTTATAATAATGAAATACTACTAGATAAATGCCCTTCAATTTAAAATAGACTTACGCTCTCCGGTCATGGTCTATTCTGTTTATTTTCCCACCAATGAATACTCTGATCTTACAGTCTTTCCACTTTTTCTTAGTAGTCAGAAGATAAGGTATCAATAAGGTCAAACCTGAATCATAAAAATACAACAAATCATTTATTAAATGCTAATTTCTCAATTAAGAACTTTTAATTCTATTTTTAGTCTCTACGACTTCATAGAAAACAAAATTTTTCTTTTTGTCTTGCTTAATAGTGTAGTCAAAAAGCCAACAGGCAGGCCTGAATAAGAAGAGTGGCCAAATGGAGTCAGGACCCATACAGGAAAGGCAGTGAAATGGGACAGTGGCCTGGCACAGTCGGGAGATTGATCACATACAGGAGGACTGAGGAAATAAGAATATTCATTGAAGCTAATGGGAGCCAAGTTACTCACTGAAATGAGAAACATAAAAAGGGAGAAGCTAGACTGAACCCTGCAGTGTTGGTCTGGAATTGGTTTTCAATCTGTATCTACACATACAAACATACCTGTATATTTCCTATTTCTGTCCAGTGAGAAGGCCTGTTAGCAGTGACACCCTAGTAGCAACAAGCATATCTAATGCCCTGATCTTTGTTTCTTTTTTTAAAGATTTTTTATTTATTTATTTTTCCCCCAAAGCCCCAGCAGATAGTTGTCTGTCATAGCTGCACATCCTTCTAGTAGCCGTATGTGGGACGCGGCCCCAGCATGGCCAGAGGAGCGGTGCGTCAGTGCGCACCCGGGATCCGAACCCGGGCCACCGGCAGCACAGTGCGCGCACTTAACCGCCAAGCCACGGGGCCGGCCCCTGATCTTTATTTCTAAATACCATTCTCCACTAAAAGGAATCAGGGCTCCTTGGATAAAGGGTGATTTAACAGCTGGTGTAGGGAAAGTCCAAAACTGAACCTGGAACATCATATTTTATCAGAAAATAAAGAATGATTGGGACACGACAAATGGACATAGAAGTCAGCCTAGAGGATCCTGCTGGCCAAATATGGCAGAATTTGAGCAGCAAAAGAAATAATGAGAATAACAAATCATATCTCACTGAATAAAATAGGGTTCCATGAGTCACACAGATAGAAATAAAGAGAAAGCTCTTCCTTACAGTAAAATGCTAGCTAATAAATGAGGAAGAAATGATGAGATTGGAAAATCATCATTTGGCAACCACAAACCACAATGACAATAACAACAACAACATATTTAGGCAGAAATATCAATGGATGGTCGTAAAAGTTGCAGTAACAATGGTATATTTACATAGTCTCAAAGTAACTCCCCATCTCCCAAATATCTGTAATTATAAAAGGGGGAAACAGTAAGTTTTCAGTGTATAAACCTGGTGAAGACCACCTTCCTCAATGGTCAAAGCGAATTTTCCCAGTGACAAAACAAATCAATATCATGTGCCACCTGATGAGATACAGACAGAAGAGCATAGCAGCACTTCTGTGATACTTCTACTAAAAATACATAATTGAAACTAATTATGATGAAGCATCAAACAGCACTCCAAATTGAGCGACATTCTACAAAACTGGTCTATAATATTAAAAAAAAAGTTAAGGTCATGAAGCTCAAGGAAGGACAGAGCAACTTCCAAACTGAAGGACACTAAATGCAACACTTGATTCTAAAATTAATCCTGTAGCTTTGGGGATGTTGGCAAACCTGGAATGGGGTCTACGGGTGAAGAGCACATGCCATTTCTTAGTACCATTCCCACAACTTCAGTATTTAAAATCGTTGAAAAAAAAAAAATTAACAACCTTACCTCCATCATCAAAAAGCCACCAGACATCAATAGTATTCTTTCCTTGTTTTTTCTGAAACTGTGTACTAGCTTCAAGAAGCTTTTGGTCAGCTACATTTAAAGGAACAGCAGGGCCTTTGGATTCTAAAGGATTAAGCAGAGAAATAAGATGTAAGGGAGGTAAACGTTAAAGTCCCTTTTGCTGATTTCCTATAGTTTCTTAAATTTTCTATATTCAAATTTTTATAATGCAGATAGTTGTATATGGCATCCATCATAAGTTTTCAGCTGTTCGTAATTTAAACATACTTTTAAAATGGTTACAGATAAATATATCTTTGCAATAACTAAACTCATACAAATTATCTTGCCTGATTTAATATTTTGAAGCATTCTGAATGAAAGAGAATCATCAATACCAATCAAGAAAATTATAATTGACTGCTAGATTTTGATTTTTGAAAAGCTATTTTAGGCTAAACAGACAAATTAAGTTTATGCCTGTTTCATGAACGTATTTCTTTTGTAATCTGGTTTCTCAATAATTTAAAGCTCAAAAAAAACTTTTTATTAACATCTTGTATCTGTAATCTTGAAGACAGAAGGACGTGGAAGAAACACCAAGACAATCTTACAATTATCATAGTGAAACCTCTTAGTCTAAGGAAAAACTCTCTCATCTTTACCTCACTTTTGTCCCCTCAATATGTGACACCCAATTCTAAAGCCATATAACCACCACATCTTTCTTTGAGCTACAGAAAGATGGTGGGAACTCCTTGGAAGGGCACCCATCTGCTGCAGGTCTAAAGAACAATATACCAAGGGAGTTCCCATTTACATTCCCAGGAATTAAAAAAAAAAAAAAAATCAGCATTGGCTCTGTGAGCAAGCAAATGACTATTATGAAACCCCTACAACAAATTTTTAAAAGCAGAAATCCACAGGAGGAAACCTGATTACTTTCGCAGTATGTCTATCATTCACTTTTCATGCTGCCGTGATGTATGCAAACATGACAAATGATTTTGCATGATGAAATAATATGGCTACCAAACCACACTGCTCCATAACTCTCACCTCTATCTCCTTCTCACAAAATTCATGTACGTTGACATGACTGTGTATCTCCCAAACGCAGCAGGACTGTGAGAAATATTGTAATTTTTGAAATGAAAAATATATTAGTATCAAAATTAAGGACTTGGCTGGGTACAACTGATGGTAAAGAATGCAAGTGACACTGTGAATAAGCCTATTTCAGTGTCTCTACTTATCATCTAAACCATGCAGTTTAAATTAAAAAATGAATATTGACTTTCAGGGTTTGAATATTTCAGAAATGCTATGAGTTAAAAGAATTTGTCTTTGATATATCACCTTTTCCTGGGACGATTTAACTCTAGTTAGACTCATGATAATTTTCTAATCTGCATTTAATAAATAACTGTAACATCACCTCACCATGGAAATAAAAACTAAGGTAAAAAAAAGAAAATAATAAGGTTGGAGTTAAAGAGTTAACAGTATGAAAAAAGGGATTAAAATAAAATGATGAAAAATGCCTGCCTTTTTTCAACAGTGGTTGAGTTGGAGTCTTGCCATCCTCTTCCTCATCTAGATTATGTTTAAAAAACACAAAATATAAGTTAATTGCCTTTATATTAATAAAATAATGAAAATGTAAATAGAGCACATTTATAAACAAAACATAATATGAAGAAACAGTCTGTGAAAAATAATGAAGACTGAAGACTGATATTTTCTACACTGAGAGCTCAGGACTTTAAAAGGCAAACATGGTTTAGAGCCCTCCCACAGGGCTACTCATTAACACTCGCCCCTCAATTTTATTCCTGTAAAACTGACAAAAACTTTACCATAGTTTTTAAACTTTTAAACTTTCATATTTGGAATCAGTTGAAAAGATGATCAACTATGGCTTATAGAGAAGAAATATGACATTAAAAAATTGACGTTGCAGATAATACATAAATTTTAAACATGCCACTGCATCACTGTGCAAATGACTGAAAAGTAATTTTAGAAACATTTAATGGACATTTTGTATTGTATTTGTAAAAATTAATTGCCACTTAAAAAATATTGAGGAATTTGATCACAGATAGTCTTTTGACTTATATAAAATGCCAGGTTATACAGGAGTGATTTTTTCAAAGACATAAATTTATATATATATATGTATATGCACGTATGTATGCATATTTGGTCCATTTATATTTAAATATTTATAAATATTTTTCTGGGGTTAACAGTTTACATAATCTCATTTTTTTTTCTGAATAGAAGCTTGTATTATTTGTTTAAGGCATATAAAACTCCCAACATGGATAGGAAAGAGTACACTGCAGTGGGCTCTTGAGTCCAACTCCCAGCATTCTGTCATTACCTCTAACTATTTTTCTGGCTGTGTGACCTTGAGCTAGTTACTTAACTCCTCACGTTCCTTCCTCATTTGTAAAAAGGGTGAACAATACCCACCTCATAAGGTTGTTATACTGCAAGCATTAATGCACTTAGCCCAGTGCCTAGCACAAAATCAGTATTGAAAGGGTGTTCTCTTTGTTCCCCTTTCACATTGTATGCTTCAATAACCAAGGCAGACATACCAAATATCTATGACTACATAATAACTACACCAGAATGTTTATAATTCTGAAGACTTTTTAAATTGTAGAATTTTTTCTATAGTTTCTATGCTAATTTTGAAAATAACTGGCTAAATAGAAAATAAACACAAAATACAATTAATGCTTCTTTTGAATGCTAATTTCTTATACCTGTTATGGAACAAGAAATATTTCAATTATTACATTTAATTTTATATTAAATATTATAGTTCTTATCAAGTAGATATTTCATAGTATCTGTCTTTGTCAATAAAAATTTATAAATGTAACTATGGACATTCCATATTCATTTCAAAGAGCTCAGAAATGTGAAGGAAATCTTGACACTTAAAAATGATTTAAACCAAGTTAAAGGCATTTACATTTTTACAATAAAAACATGAGTAGAAATGCACTGACTCCAGTTTCCTACTCAATAAAAATAACGACTTCATAAGATTGTAACACACATTAATGAGCTAATATACGGATAACATCTACTACAATGTGGGAGGCACAGAGTAGATGCTTGATAAATATTATTTCTTCCCCCTCCCTCATAGCTTTACCTATGAATTCCTAACACATTCCATAAAGAAAAGAATCTGTTTTAGTAAAGAGAAAAGGACAAAAAAAAAAAAGAGGAAATGAAAGAATGTATACCATAAACTAAAAATAAATGCCAGAACAGAAGAACAGTTTCAGAATCAGTTTACAGAGTTTTGAGATGAAACAGAAAACAATTATAATCAAGCCAGCAAATAACTGAAATGGAAAATGGCTCTTAACTAAACTCTCAACTACTATTCTAAGCAAACAAGGTAAATAAGGAGGAAAGAAATGAAAAGCAACATTAATGCTAAGTAATCTAGAAGAGATCAATTTCCCAGAGATAGGATTTGTCCAAGGTTATCAATTTCAGAAAAAGAATGGTAATTATTTTACAGGAATCAAAAGTATGATATGGTTTGATGATTTACAGTGCAGATTTTTTATTGTTGCGTATCAGCTGGGAATAGGACAGATGGAGATACTAGACTGAACAGAGGTAGGAGAGTGAGGGCGGGAGAGCAAGATTTGGAAGTCATCTCTCTTTCCTTCTCATAAACATTAACATACAGATTTGAGGATGAAATTATCTGAAAGTCTCATGAGATTTGAAAATCTTTTTGTGGCTTCAACCACACGAACCACAAGGGGTATTATGTCTGTAATATGGCCGAATAGTTCAGCAACCAAATACAAATAGCTCGTTTCTTCAGAGAAACTAAATTGAGGAATAAAATTGCACTTGATTTTTTATTACATTGTTTTACCTAAACAACTCCATGTGTAGTAGATGTAAAAATATTCTGAATATCTCAGCACATAAACAAAACCCCTGGTATTTAATATCTTGATTTACCAAAAATTATATAAATTAATTTTACAAACTTCATTCCTTTCAGTGCTATATGCTATATGCACATTACTCTAAAATTATCATGTTTCTTTCCAAGTTCAGATTTAACCTATGCTTCAAATTAAAATGTTTTATTTAAATCAAGCATAAATAAAAACATACAAGAGCATATTAGTATACAATTGATTGGCATGGTGTCTGTTCTATAGATCTACTTTAATACCTTAAAAATAGCTAGTCATTTTGCAGCCATTTTTGAAAGCCATAAATTTTACCTGAGCAACTAGAAATGAACAGTACAAGTTTGAGAACAGGTTCCTTTATAAGACTTGTTATACAATAAAAACCATTTCTCCCCAAATTAAAACATTACTATTCATAAAATTTCTTGTTTGAATAAAAATTACCTTTATGTGTAACAGCTTTTTCACCAGATGGTAGGGAAGTATCTAAATCCGATTTTTTACTATATTCCACACTTAGCACCACATCCTTGACACCAGGAGATTTCTCTTGTGATGATAATAATTCTTCTGTAGACATGAAAGTATTCAAAGTATTATCTAAATCTTAACCATTAAAGACAGTATCATGGTGTAATATCAATTAAATGATAATTTTAAGCAAAGTTTACTATGAAATAGTAAGTTTATAATACATGATTTCCTATGTAAATAAATGTGATAATCTCTTTTGAAATGATTATTCACTTAAATATCTTGAGCCACAACTAAGCATCAGACATCTGAATTGGGTGCTGGGCAATCAGTAATGAATTAGATTCATGGAACACAAGAATCTGGTAGACAAAAGAATGATGCATAAAATGTGAATCAATTCTACTCTCAAAGTCATTTACTCATGTAAAAAATGTAAATGTGACAAATACTCAAATACATGTAAAATGACAGACAACACTGAAAAATTATATGCATGACTATAGAGCCAAAACTAGGGGACAGAGAAGAGTGCTTTCTTAAGCACATGGTCAAAGTACCATTGCTACATTTTTAAAGCATTTCCTTCATTTCCTGTCTTTTAGGAAGGAGTTAGTAAACATTGAACTTCCACTATAAAAACATTTATCATAAAGACAAACATAATATGAAATTGATCATCTATTCGTAATTGATTTCTGTGTATTAAGAGAAATAACAACAGAAACCGTGTGTGTGTAGGTGCTAGCACTATGCTCAGAGCTTCACAGGCCATATCTCCTTTTTAAACTTCACAACAACCCTATGAAATAATTATGTTTTAACAGATGAGTAAACTGAGGCTTGGAAATCAGAAAATTTGCCCAGGCTATAAAATTACTAAGAGAAAAAGCTGGGATTTGTAAAGCAAATCTGACTCCAAAGCCTGTGCTCTTAATCTCTGTGCTAAACCAAATTCCTGTCTCCAAATCCTCATGATGAGTAACAAGGCTTTCAAAACAATTTTCATAATGATTATAACATGAAAATATTTTCTTCAAGTTCCAATCACATTCAAATCTCAGTAAATTATAGAACTATATAATTTATTAGCCAAACTGTGATATTTTTGAGAGTGAAAGGGAACCCTACTAATAATTACGCAGGTACCCTAAACCTCAATCACTGTTACAGCAAGAGAGAACTGAAATTGTATTTTGCAAGGCCTACTCCAGAGTAAGAAAATGTATTTTCAGCAAACCATACTTTTGTGTTACATGGATAAAGATCTCAAAGCATTCCTTTCAAAACTGCACAATACTCTTAAAATGGTGGGGCCAGTGGGAGGATAACAACAGTTTAAATACATACACAGATGATAAAAGTTCATTATATGCGTCTCAGTTATTTAGGTTTAGCTAATTTTGATGATTTGGTTAATTTAATTGATATGGGTAAAATATTAGGTATGCAAATTTTCTTAAACTTATAATTTTTTAAACTACCAGGAAATCATTCGAGGGTATGGAATTTTCCATAGTTTTTATAAAGTAGGCAAAAGTAATAAGTACACCTTAATCAGGTTTTAAGTTTCATTCAAAAAAATTTTTTTAAATGCTTTAAAAATTATATAGTTGGAGAAGAGATTAGTGAGTGTCAGGGGTTAATGATGGGGATAAGGGGAAGGGTATGGTGGGTGCTATAAAGGGGTAGTACAAGGGAGAGCTTCGTGGTGATGGAAGAGTTCTATATCTTGATTATGGTGTTGGTTACATGAATCAACATATGTGATAAATGGCATAGAATAGCACACAAATGTATACATGCACACAGACACAAGTGTATGTAAAACTGGTGAAATCTGAATAAGGTATGTAAATTGTTCCAATGTCAATTTCCTGGTTTTGATATAGAACTATAGATATGCAAGATGTTACCAGTGGGGGAAACTAGATGAAGGGTACACAGGACATCCCTGTACTATTTTTTTTGCAACTTCTTGTGAATCTACAATTATTTCAAAATGAAAAAGCAAAAAAAATGATTTATAGGGTTTTTTCAGAATACAGAGTAAACGATATCACAAAGTTTAGTTTTTAATTATTAATATGCCTGTGTACAAAGCATGACTTTCACAAACATGAAAATATATAACAATTTAGTAGTCATAAAATTTTTCCTTCAACTACTTTATTTATCATGTATTTTTATAAATTTGGCCCATCTACAATCATAACTAATGTCTGTATCTCTTAAACTTATGATTTGGATTGAATTTTATTCTCTCCATTAATAATCACTAGCCATCATCCAGGTTGGTGCAAAGAGAGAAGACAAACTTTGGTGGAGCCAAACAGATCTGATCTTAAACTGTCTTATAAGTACATCACACAGAATAGATGGTAAATATTAAAATTTTAGAAGGATTTATGAGAATTATTTATAATTTCCTAACAAACTAATTTATATTTTTAAAATATAAAAACTTATTTCAAACAAGACTTACCTTGTCCTTGAAGATGAGATATATCCAGACCCTCTTGTAGGCGGATAACTACTACACCATATTGCATGTCAAAGGCGTCGCTATTGGGGGGGAAAAAAAAAATCACAAAAAATTTCTTTCTGTATCCTCCTCTATAAAATGAAGGCAACAGTAAATGATTTCTAAAATTACTATCAGCTTTAAATGTCTGATTTTTTTAATATGCTTTAAAAATTACCAGGAGATCTACACAATGTTAGCTTCAAATCCTACACCATTGGGAAATCTTATTCATCACATACTTTTCTAATCAACAGAAAGAGATTTTTTAAAAAGTATGAGATCTGGTTACTTCCTCAAAGATGTTTCAAGGTATCTATGAAAACAGAACTATCATATGCGATAACAGGCAGATAATTATGTGGTTATATCTATAGTATACACAACAGGAGTTTCAGCAAGAGAAATAACTCTACTGAGTTAAGGGTAATTGGATCACAATTCACAGAGACATAGGATTTGAATCTGGTCTTAGAGTTACTTTGCCAAATATAATTTTTTTTTAAAAAGGACAATCATGTGTATATGAAGAAATACTTTATAAGGAGGAGTGAACAGTTCTATTCCATCAGTAGCTATGACAGGAAGAAGATTATTCTTCAATCAAGTACAGTGTAGCGAGAGGGAATCCTTATCCTCTATAAAACAGTGTAAACGAGATAAAGAGACTTCTTAAGCAAATCACAGAATACTAGGAAAAGGAAATATTTTTTCAAGATTAAAAAGAAAATCTGGCAAAAATAAAAAGAAGTTTTATTCTTTGTATTAAATAACTCAGTTCCCAAAAGCATTCATTGTAGATTAAAAAGATAGAAATGCAAAAATCAATAATAACACGAACAGAGTAAAATCAGAAAGACAAAGTAACAAATGAATAAAAAGAATCCACCAGACAACCCTAAGAGAGAAGTTAAAGATATATAAGTCAAAACTAAGATGTGTCATCAAGATCATGGGAAATACCACTGAAAAATAAACAGTCAACTCAGAACTTACACTTCAAGCTGGAAGGAAAGCAAAACATATAAGTAAATTTTTTAAAAAGAAATGTAAATAGCTTAATGGATAAACCAAATGATTAACTGCAAAATTAGTTTGAGAGGGAAACAAACCTAAACCTGAGGTTGATATCAGTGATGAAATGCCTTTCTTAGCATCAGACATTATAATGACATAACTTAGAAGGTGATGGACCTGACAACACTGGGGAACTCTGCCTAGCAACACCTGTAAGGTTAGGAAACAGGTTACTCACTTAAATGGAAAGCCAGAGTACGTACGTGTGTGTGTACACGTGTACATGTACGTTAATGTTTGAGTGTATGAAGAGACACAGAAAGAGCAATCAAAATTTTTTGTTAACAAGATCATAAATTTAAAACCCAGATAACCCTATGTGATTCTTTTCATTCTTATGCTTCTACTAGAAGACACTATATGAGAAACAGGCTTCAAAAACCAGTACAAGCTTTCAAAATTAACATTTTCTGAACCAAGTTACTAAATTAAAAAGGTACTTACTGAAATAAGTTTATATACAAATCCACATCTCTCATATCTGCTTGCAACCAATCTTTCTTAAATCCAAGGACAAGTGTGTTTGGTTTCATACGCCCAAGACCAGCAGCCTAAAATATAGGAAAATACAATCTTAAAGATACACTATTCAACAAAATGTTTGTTTTTTGTTTTTTTTTTGGAGGAAGATCGGCCCTGAGCTAACATCTGCCAATCCTCCTCTTTTTGCTGAGGAAGACTGGCCCTGGGCTAACATCCATGCCCATCTTCCTCTACTTTATATGGGACACTGCCACAGCATGGCTTGACAAGGGGTGCGTCGGTGTGCACTCGGGAACCAAACCGGCGAACCCCGGACCACAGCAGCAGAGCGCGTGCACTTAACCGCTTGTGCCACCGGGCTGGCCCCCAAAATGTTTTTTAAAGTTTTTTTTTTTTTTTTAAAGATTTTATTTATGTATTTTCCCCCCAAAGCCCCAGTAGATAGTTGTATGTCATAGCTGCACATCCTTCTAGTTGCTGTATGTGGGACGCGGCCTCAGCATGGCGGGAGAAGCGGTGCGTCGGCGCGCGCCCGGGATCCGAACCCGGGCCGCCAGCAGTGGAGCGTGCGCACTTAACCGCTAAGCCACAGGGCCGGCCCCCAAAATGTTTTTTAAATGATGAAATCCTCCAAATGGACAGCCTCTAAACATTTTTAAATTATACACCCTTAACAGCAAAAATTCTTAAGCATCCAATACATGCATATTTATAAATTATACATTAAATTACGTTACTTATAATTAAACATACACAAATAGAAGATAAAATGAATCACTTGAAAAGTTCTAAATTCGCATTTTTGTACTTTTATGGTTTGTCAAAATTTTCATATTTTTAGTAAGAGAAAGATGATGCAATATACTTAATGTTTTACAAAAATCACAATACTACAGTAATATTCTTGGTTATATATTTTGATAACAGCCATTAAAATCTAGAAGCAAAAGTTCAAATGGAAGACACGTATTGTTAGCTGCAGTTCTGAATCACATCAACACTAAATTTTGAGTTCTTTCTACCAACCATGTAAAAGTTTCTGGTGAAATTTGGCTAGTTAATTTTCTTCTTCAATTATTCCATCAATCAATTTTTCTTGTGATCATATCAAGAGTTGCAATTCAATATGCTTAACAAATAGGTCCCCAAATTCAATGAATTTCCTTTTATAAGATTTTAAAACCCCACTATCTATTTTCAAAAGTTTCTCATCACCCCAAAAAGAACTTCTGTAACCATTAAGTAATATCTACCCATTCTCTCCTCCCTCCAGGCCCTGGTAACATCTCATCTACTTCCATCTCTTCAATTTGCTTAACCTAGATACTTCATATAAGTGTAATAATATAGTATTTGTCCTTTGTGTCTGGCTTATTTCATTTAGCACGTCTTCCAGGTTCATCCATGTTATAGCATGTATCAGAACTTCATTCCCTTTTATGGCTGAATAATATTCCATTGTATATATACACCACATTTTGTTTATCCATTCATCTGTTGATGGACACTTAGGTTGTTTCTACCTTTTGGCTACTGTGCATAATGCAGCAATGAACAAGGGCAACAAATATCTGTTTGACTTCTTGCTTTTAATTTCTTTGAGTATACGCCTGGGAGTAAAATTGCTGGTCATATGGTAATTCCATGTTTAGCTTTTTGAGGAACCACCAAACTGTTCCACAGTGGCTGCAGCATTTTACATTCCCACTAGCAATGCATAGGTTCAATTTCTCTACATTCTCTACATTTCTTGGGGTTTTTGGTTTTTTTGTTTTTTTTTTTTAATTATAGGCAGCCTAGTAGTGTGAAGTGGTATCTCACTGTGGTTTTGATTTGCATTTCTCTAATGACTAATGATATTGCGCATCTTTTCATGTGCTTATTCTTTGGAGAAATGTTTACTCAAGTCATTTGCCCATTTTTTAATTGAGTTATTTGTCTTCTTGTTGCTGTTTTAGGAGTTCTATACAGGCATACCTTGAAGATATTGAGTGTTAGGTTCCAGACCACCAAAACAAAGCTAATATTGCAATAAAGTGAATCACACAAATTTTTTGATTTCCTAGTGCATATAAAACCTAGCGCATATGTTTACACTACATTATATAGTCTGTTAAATGTGCAATAGCATTATGTCTAAAAAAGAAATGTACATACCTTAATTAAAAAATATTTTATTGCTAAAAAATGGTAATCATCATCTAACCTTCAGTAAGTTGTAATCATTTTGCTGGTGGAGGGTCTTGCCTTGATGTTGATGGCTGCTGACTGATCAGGGTGGTGGTTGCTGAAGGTTGGGGTGGCTGTGGTAATTTCTCAGAATAAGACAACAACGAAGTCTGCCATATCGATTGACTCTTCCTTTCACGAACGATTTCTCTGTAGCATGCGATGGTGTCTGATAGTATTTTACCCACAGTAGGACTTCTTTCAAAATCAGAGTCAATCCTCTCAAACCCTGCCACTGCTTTATCAACTAAGTTTATGTAATGTTATAAATCCTTTGTCATTTTAACAATCTTCACAGCATCTTCACCAGGAGTAGTTTCCATCTCAAGAAACCACTTTCTCTGCTAATCCATAAGAAGCAACTCCTCATCTGTTAAAGTTGTATCATGAGATGGCAGCAATGCCATCACATCTTCAGGCTCCACTTCTAATTCTAGTGCTGTTGCTATTTTCACATCTGCAGTTACTTCCTCCACTGAAGTCTTAGACCTCTCAAAGTCATCCATGAGGGTTAGAATAAATTTCTTCCAAACGCCTATTAATTTGATATTTTGTTCTCTTCCCATGAATCATGAATGTTCTTAAAGGCACCTGGAATGGTGAATCCTTTCCAGGTTTTCAACTGACTTTGCCCAGATCCATCAGAGGAATCACTATATATGGCAGCTACAGCCTTATGAAATGTATTTCTTCTTCTTTTTTTTTTTTTTTGTGAGGAAGATTAGCTCTGAGCTAACATCCTATGCCAATCATCCCCTTTTTTGCCGAGGAAGATTGGCCCTGGGCTAACATCCGTGCCCCTCTTCCTCTATTATATATGGGATGCCGCCACAGCATGGCTTGACAAGCGGTGTGTTGATGCGCACCCGGGATCAGAACCTGAGAACCCTGGGCCGCCAAAGCAGAGTGCCCAGAACTATGCCACCGGGCCGGCCTCGAAATGTATTTCTTAAATAATAAGACTTGAAAGTTGAAATTACTCTTTGATCCATGGGCTGCAGAATGCATGCAGAGCGCCCAGAGCTATGCCACCGGGCCAGCCTCGAAATGTATTTCTTAAATAATAAGACTTGAAAGTTGAAGTTACTCCTTGATCCATGGGCTGCAGAATGGATGTTGCGTTAGCAGGCATGAAAACAACATTCATCTCGCTGTACATCTCCATCAGAGATCTTAAGTGAACAGGTGCATTGTCAATGAGCAGTAATATTTTGAATAGAATCTTTTTTTCTGAGCAGCAGGTCTCAACAGTGGGCTTAAAATATTCAGTATACCATGTCATAAACAGATGTGCTGTCATCCGGGCTTTGTTGTTCCATTTACAGAGTATAGGCAGAGTAGATTTAGCATAATTCTTATGGGCCCTAGAATTTTCAGAATGGCAAATGAGCATTGGCTTCAACTTGAAGTCATCAGCTGCATTAGCCGCTAACAAGAGAGTCAACCTGTCCTTTGAAGCTTTGAAGCCAGACATTGATTTCGCTGTGAAAGAAGATAGCATCTTGTTCCAATAGGTTTTTTCATCTACACTGAAAATCTGTTGTTTAGTGTAGCCACCTTCATTAATTATCTTAGCTAGATCTTCTAGATAACTTGCTGAAGCTTCTACATCAGCACTTGCTGCTTCATCTTGCACTTGCATGTTATGGAACTGGCTTCTTTCCTTAAACCTCATGAACCAAACCCTGCTAGCGTCAAACTTGCCTCCTGAAGCTTCCTCACCTCTCTCAGCCTTCACAGAACTGAAGAGAGTTAGGGCCTTGCCGTGGATTAGGGTTTGGTTTAAGGGAATGTTGTGGCTGGTTTGATCTTCTATACAAACTTTAAACTTCTATTCAAACTATAAAACTTTTTCCATATCAATGATAAGGCTGTTTCGCTCTCATCATTCATTTGTTCACTGGAGCAGCACTTTTAATTTCCTTCAAGAACTTTTCCTTTGCATTCACAACTTGGCTAACTGGCGCAAGAAGCCTAGCTTTCAGCCTATCTTGGCTTTTGACATGCCTTCCTCATTAAGCTTGATCATTTCTAGCTTTTGATTTAAAGTGAGAAACATGCGACTCTTCCTTTCACTTGAACACTTAAGAGGCCACTGCAGGGTTATTAATTGGCCTAATTTCAATATTGTTGTGTCTCAGGGTATAGGGAGGCCTGAGGAGAGGGAGAGAGACGGGAAACAGCAAGTGGGTGGAGCAGTCAGAACTTGCACAACATTTACTGATTAAGTTCGCTGTCTTAGATGGGTGTAGTTTGTGACGTCCCAAAACAATTAAAATAGTAACATCAAAGATCACTGCTCACAGATCACCATCACCATAATAAAAGCTTGAAATATTATGAGAATTACCAAAATGTAACACACAGATACAAAATGAGCAAATGCTGTTGGAAAGATGGTGCTGATAGACTTGCCTGATACAGGATTGCCACAAACCTTCAATTTGTAAAAAAATGTATTATCTACAAAGTGCAATAAAGCAAAGGGTGATAAAATGAGGTATGCCTATATGTATTCTGGATATTCGATCTTAGCAGATATTTGATTTGCAAATATTTTCTTCCATTCTGTAGGTTGTCTTTTTTCTTGACAACATCCTTTGATGCACAAAAGTTTTTAATTTTGATGAAGTCCAATTTATCTATTTTTTCTTTTGTTGCTCTCATTTTTGGTGTCACATCTAAGAATCCATTGTCAAATCCACGGTTGTGAAAATTTACCTGTATGTTTTCTTCTAAAAGTTTTATGGTTTTAGCTCTTATATTCAGGTTGCTGATCCATTTCGAGTTAATTTTTGTATGTGGTGTGAGGTCACACAAGTTTTTATAGGTGACATAC